CATTTGATCTCCCTTTCTGGACATCAGGCATCGTTCCAAGCATGCCACATGAATATATTGTCCCCTGATGGTGTTTGGGAAGTGAGTTTTTATGTAGATTTTATTAGATGTAGGTTTTTATGAGATAAAAAATTTTTGGTGTTTAGGAAGATAGTTGGGTTTTTATGTGGCTGGATGTGATGTTTGTGAGAGAAAAAGTGAAATGATTATGGGGTTGGATGTAATATTTTGTTTGGATGTGTTTTTTTTGGTTTTGCAAAACTTTTGTCTTTTAATGGAAAAAATGAGAAAAAAATTTGGGAACTTGCTTCCCAAACACCACCAGTTAGCAGTTTCCATGTTTTGACTAGACAGAGCATTCATTTTAATACTGAACACTGTCATTACACATTGAACACTTCTTTTTTATTCCAGTTTGTCTTACGGCATTATAATTCTAAGTGTTGATAATTTACATCTATTCGATTGTCTCAATTGAAATAGTGTTGGCAGTGGGCAACGACACCATGGGATCTCCCATAACATAAATGTTCAACATAATCAACGTGAAAGAGATGAAAGTTGACTCAGCCAACAATAGAGGCAGAATCTTTATTTGACTGACCACCTCAGCTTTGATTTAATATGCCAGTTATAGCTGCTTTTAACATCTCTTTGTATCAATAATAAGCAAGGAGAGTGATCCAGATTAAACAAAGAGATCAGGTGTTCTTCTGTAGTTTTTTTCCATGCCAGTTTCTGAGTTATTGAACAATGTTAGAGGGAAACCATATCTACTCCACTTGCTCTGTGGATACATTTTGCCTGCTTGATTCACATTTTAACTCACAAAATATAGAAGTTCATGGAGAGATAATTGAAGTTTGATTTATTATCATGTATATTACTTTCTCTCACGTAATTTAAGATGATTTAATATTGTTATCATCATATACCAGTCTTTTGCTTTGTTTTCACCTATTTGATTTTCTCTCGTCTACTTATTGCCCAGAGCAACCATTCCGAAGCATAAAAAATTTCTCGTACAATGAATTGAGAGCTGCAACCGATGATTTTCTTCCACGAAATAAGATAGGGCGAGGAGGTTTTGGAATAGTTTACAAGGTACTCCAATTTGCAAAGTTCTTTCACACTTGTCCAATTTTAATCATGTTATTTCTGTGGCATTAGTAATGATATTCACTTCATGGAAGATTTGAACTTTTTCAGTAGGATAGTTGAACTTTTGTTGATCATTGAGAAGGACCAATACTTCTAAGAAGGTGAAGTGTCCATGTCAGACACTGAAACTCATCAGACACTTGTGGACACATGTCGGACACACATCCAAACCTATCCTATTATTTTTAAATTTTGTTATATCGGACTCACATGAAACCCATTACATGTTTGAACAAAATAATTTGATATCCAATGATGAGAGAAAAATAATAATTTACACCTATTAATCCGTTCTCCTTTAAACTTTAGAAATAAGTGTTATACTGTATTTTTTATTATCTTTGAATGAAAAATTCATATAATGACATATAATAAATTTATAAAACTATATATATTTGTGGGTTCCAACGTGTTGTATCCTACAATTTTTGAAAATTATTGTATCAATGTATCCATGTCCATGTTCATATCCATGCTTTTTTGATTAAAACTTTCATTTATCATTGTCATGGGGTTATTTCATTTTTCTTCAATATTTATATTATGGACAGTTATTGATGTTTTACTCTTATTTTGTTCTTTGACCAGTAAGGGCCCACTTCATGAATTGGATGAAAACTAGAAAAAATGTAAACCTGACTGTTGGAACAATCTTGTTTCCCAGCTTTACTGTAGAACTCAGCCTAAACTTCAAATAAATTTATCTAGGAGATAATTCTTGCTTTCTGGAGAAGGAGACTCTATGATTAGTAATCTTGTTAAATTTCCTTCATTCACTTTTGCAAAGGACCTGACATATTCGCAAAAATAGTGTTGAAAAAAAGAAGAAGCCAAATTATGGGTTAGATTGCATGACATTCTCTATGGTACTAATTTGGGGAGATTTTGACTTGATGGATCTGTATTGTCATGGTGGTCATATTTTTTATGATTGATTGAACTTCAGCTATAATTGATACAATATATTTAAGGAATATAATTTTGTTGCTGTTTTTATCCCATATTTGTAATTGTTACCGATTATTAACAAAACAGAAATTTCTCAGGGAGTCCTCAAAGATGGCACAGAAGTTGCTGTGAAGACACTTTCTGCTGAATCAAAGCAGGGGGCACGCGAATTTTTGACAGAGATTAATACAATATCAAATGTCAGACATCCAAACCTGGTTGAGTTAATTGGATGCTGCGGTCAAGGGAGTCACCGAGTTTTGGTCTATGAATTTCTAGAAAATAACAGCCTTGATCAAGCATTATTAGGTATTGTCCAAATTATTAAATGTGAACAGTTTGTTAAGATTTATACCAAGGAAACCTGAACATGTAGTTAACCTGTGTTTGCAGGTTCAAAGAGTAGAACCGTAAAACTGGACTGGGCAAAAAGATCTGCAATTTGCTTGGGCACTGCCAGGGGTCTCACATATCTCCATGAGGAACTTGTGCCTCATATAGTGCACAGGGACATCAAAGCTAGTAATATACTTCTTGACAAAGACTTCACTCCGAAGATTGGAGATTTTGGGTTGGCCAAACTTTTCCCAGATAACATCACCCACATTAGCACAAAAATAGCAGGAACAACGTACGTAATCCTTTCTATTTCTCACATGAAGCTTTGGCTGCTATTTGATGTTTGATATGTCATCTTCTTTGCTTTTTCTCAAAACCAAGAAACTAATATGCTGTGCATCCTGCAATGCTTTTCCCCTAGAGTATAAGTAGTTTGGCGTAGTGGGTGAGGTCCCTTACCTGTGATGTCTGGGTTTGAGTCCTACTTGCTGTATGATGCAACTTTCTCTAATAATAATAATAATAATGATAATAAAGTTTAGGTAGTTTGGAAAGCTTCTATATCATCACTATTGTAGCTCTTCCTAGGTTTTTATGTATCCCAAAATAATAATATGAATATTGCAATTTTGGATCTCAACCCTTAAAACTTGCAATTGGTTTCATAGAGTTGATTGAAAGGAACATGTGGTAATGTATACCTCGGGTTTGTTCCATGCAGTGGCTATTTGGCACCTGAATATGCATTGGGAGGTCAGTTAACAATAAAGGCTGATGTGTACAGCTTTGGGGTCCTCGTACTTGAAGTAATAAGTGGCAGAAGCAGTTCAAAGGCAAACTGGGGAGGGATGCAGAAATTTCTCCTAGAATGGGTGCGTTGAGTTTTCCTTTTACAAATTCTAATAAAAGTTTCGGTAGTTTAGTTTTGGATTTCTCTGTCTTGGTCATGAGTTTCCTGGCATTTTCTGTTTCTTCTTTGCTTGGTCATCATGCACTTTTCTAATGGTTGTTCATTTCAAAACTTTACATATATTTGTGTGTATGATTTGTTAATTGGAAGCTATGAATTGTAGACTGTTTGGAAGCTTTGAGCTATGGACTATTTGCTTTCATAATCTCCCTCTCATGCATAATGAGACCTCAGTTAGGTTTGATGACCAAATGAGTGGCATTCCACCCATGAAGGGACGAGTTTTGCTGACTGACTAACATCATAAACGAAGTAGAAAGTAGCCAAATTCACAGATACATTTTGGGTCCAAACTTTTCATTTTTCTGTTAATTTTTCTCCTGGCTTGTGCTGTGTTTAAATGATCCAGTAAACTGATCCAATCCAATCCAACCTGCTGGTTGGTCCAATTTTTATTAGCTTTTATGATTCTGGTTTCAAAAATGGTTGAACTATTTGAATCAATCCGTTTTGCGGTTCTAGTGCTTCATTTACGGTCCTAAACTGACCTGTCATATTTTTGTTTATTATTTCTGTATGTAAAAACAAGTACAAAAGTAAATAACATGATTCAAACACCAATCTCAACTATAGTGATTTTTGTTAGATTCAATACTGTATCTTTTGTTATATAAAATTTCTGACTGAACCCAACCGAATTACGGTTCTAATTTTTCTAGAACGTCATAACGAGTTCAGTTCCTAATTTACTCTAAAACCTCAGTAGTCCGATCTGTGAACACTCCTACTCGTGCTAGCATCATCATTCGTGCACATTAGTGGGGCTCTAACTCAAACAAATACATTCTTTCTATAACAGGCATGGGAGCTTTACAAAGAAGGGGGACTCTTAGAGCTAGTGGACCCGGAACTGAAAGAATTCCCAGTGGAACAAATCATCAAGTACATGAAAGTAGCATTTTTCTGCACCCAAGCAGCTGCAAACAGAAGGCCAACGATGAGCCAAGTTGTGCAAATGCTTTCGAGAGACATTCGGCTCAATGAGAAGGAACTTATGGCCCCAGGTTTCTTCGAGGATTCAGGCGGGCTAAATGATTCAAATAAAAAGTCATCCGAATGCTCCTCTACTAGTACCTACCAGATGAGCTCCGCACCCATCACCATCACGAATGTGACCCCTCGCTGAAAATTACTCTACAGAGCAATGATTGGTATCGAAGTTTTATACAATAATTTATAGTTTTTTTGGGTCATAATTCGTTTTTATTTTTTTGTTGGATTTGCCATTGGTTTTGGAGGGAGTAGAGGCTAAATATATCAATAGTGGTTTTTGGTAGAAGTTCTTTACGAGAATGAACATAATTGTGAAGTTCAACTTAGAAATTTGACTTGTTTTCTATTGCTTTCTTGGGCAAGACATATATATATATATATTAAAAGTGTGTTGGCTCTCTCTCTCTCTCTCTCTCTCTCTCTCTCTCTCATGATTCATGATTCATGAATAGTTCAGTTGATATATGTATTGTACAAAGAAATGTTGTCTATACTTGATGGTTAGACATTTTCGCTCTGTTTTCAGAATTTGTTTTTCATTTTTACTTATTTATAAGTCATATTTCGGACACTTATGCTATGTTAAGTCCCGCGTAATTTTTTATAGAGTTTCAAGTCCTATTTAGATAGGAATGTATTCCATAAGATCCTATGAGTTGTAAATAAATGGTGTTAATATACTATTATACACTATAATGACAAAACCATATATGGGAAATTGAATGTTATCATAGATCATATCTATATGAATGTGAATTTCAAAATACACGAACAAGTAACATTTTCACATTCAATTTAAAAAATAAAAAACCTAGTAAGTTTGCGAAACGTAACGTGACACGTTACGTTACGTTTATATAGGTGTCACGTTACATTACGTTCATGTAAGTGTTACGTTACGCTACGTTTATGTAGGTGTCACGTCACGTTACGTTTATGTAATGTCTTATCTGATATGGTCACGTCACGTTACGTTTATGTAGGCGTCACGTTACGTTTTGCAAACTTAATCTATCGTAACATTCAATTTCGTATATATGACATTCAATTTCGTATATATGGTTTTATCAGTATTTATGATATTAACAACTAATATTGAGGGTAAATGTGTCAACAAACTTCACACTGGACTTATGGGAACATAAATTTTTTAGTAGAATCATATGTAGCATAAGTCTCCCTAATAAGACTTATATATAATTTTTCCTAGTGAAAAGTAAAAATAAAAATAGGCTCATCACGTTCATATAATTTTATTTTTTTTGGAGTAGAAATAAATTTTAAAAATGTAAAAATATATTTTTAGTATTTATTTTTGTCAAATTATTTGTAATTTTTGCAAAAAAATTTAGAAAACAATTTATGAAAATCACACTAAATAGAACCGTGGTATTGAATTATTTTTAGGGAAAATTATTTATAAGTCCTATTAGGGAGACTTATGTTACATATGGTCCTACTAAAAAACTTATATTTCCATAAGTTCTGTGGAAAGTTTGTTGACACATTTACCCTCAATATTAGTTGTTAATATCATAAATAATAATAAAACCATATATAGGAAATTGAATATTATCATAAATCATATTTATATAAACGTAACATAACGTGACACCTACCTGAACGTAACGTGATACCTACATAAACGTAACGTGACACTTATGATATATGGTAACATTCAATATGAAAATATGAAAATGTTACTATAGATCATATTTATATGAAACGTAACGTGACACCAACATAAACTAGCAACATTTTCATATTTAATTTAAAAAAATAAAAACTCATAAGTTTGCGAAACGTAACGTGACACGTTACGTTACGTTTATATAGGTGTCACGTTACGTTACGTTTATGTAAGTGTCACGTCACGTTACGTTTATGTAGGATCTTATGAAATACATTCGTATCTAAATAGGACTTGAAACTCTATAAGAAATTACACAGGACTTAACCTAGTATAAGTGTCTGAAAAATGACTTATAAATAAATCTCCCTTATTTTTAATAGTAAAAATTACACCAACCTTTCTTGAAATTTAGAAAAAATTATATTGAGCTTCATAAATTTGATATAATCACAAAAAATATATTAATTTTTTAAATTCCTAAAACAAACCCAAAAGCCATTAAAAAAAGAAACTCTTGTCGTCTGGATTTTCTTTTACCTATACAAAACAAGGAAAACACTTGTGCTTGTGCATATGTAAGTTTTAAAGAGAACAACTAGTATACAATATTGAAATGGTAAAATTAATTCTCATTGATGTTGCACATTCTGGATTTACGTGGTTGATCTCATTTGATAAGACTTAAAATTTGATTTGATTTGCATTTGATATTGCACATTCATAACCATTTAACATTGACAAATGCATTGCATAACAATTG